TAAAACACTTTTTTTTCTGTTGGAGGTGCATGCAAATTCATGTTATTGACAAGTTTCATATTGAGGTTAGTACAATTCCATGCTGGTTTAAATTTATCCATCTTGATCTCTCATCAGAAAGATGTAGAGACATTTGGCTTGACAGGTAGGTGGTGTATCATTTATGGGTTTGTTTTTGTTAGGAATGCAGTTCTCTATACATAAATCTAAATTCATATATATATATATATATATATATATATACAACACATAGTTTAGGGGTTATTGTTACTGAAAGTGCTATCAGTAAAATTTGTTCAAATTCTGGGCATGGTCTTTGAATTCACTGTTACACAAATTCTATTAGGAAAGATATGACTCCCTTTCATCTCCCACCAGCTATAAGCAAACTAGCCTATCTTTGGTTGGCAACTTGTCCAGGAGAAGGAAAATACAGAATTCAAATCTGAGGAGCATGTTTAGAGACTTCATAGTACACTTTGTGCCAATTCTGTGTTAACTGTTCTTTTGAAAAATATATCTGGTTCTCCACAAACCTACACACTATAATCAAATCATACATGTGGGCAGTCTAGCAGATCAGTTCTATAAACTGAATTGTTAGATACTTATACTTGTTTGCTGAAAGCAACAAGTGAGTTCACATTATATAATTTTAATTCTATAATGCATATATCAGTTTGTTCATAAAATAAATTAATAAGAACACCAGATTATATATCTTACTGTTATAATTCCTACCCAAATATTCAGGTAATCTAAGAAACTAATGATATCTTAAAAAGTGAGTTTTTTTTTTTTTTTATTTCCTGTGGAGGGATTTTGAAATATCTCCAGCATGTTATAAGAAACACTGGATTACATGTAGGATGAATAATTTGAATCTATTCAAATTATACACATATATGTATGTGTGTGTGTCTCCATGTATGCATATCAAATAAATTGAAGAGAACCAACATATGAACAAATGCTGTATTTATGTCTTTTTGTACTGATCAAACCACTGAAAATAATAGTTTTGCAAATGTGACAGATTAACAATGACTCTCAAAGATAAAACTCTTCTTTTCCATAATTAAAGACTAATTGAATATATCACTTTAATGAAGTCTTGAATTCTTAATGCCTATATATTTTTCCGATAACAGCTCCATTATGCTCAACTAAAAACACTTATCTCAGATGTGATTTTCATCATGTAATGACATTAACGTAATTTTTTAACAAACTGATAGAATTTTAATCTTTCATTTCAAATTATGAATTCAATTTCAATTCTTCAAACTGACTCAGATAAATTTAATTTAATCTTTGGTCAATCAAGATAATATTTTTTATTCAGTTTTCCTCTATGCAAAATAATAACTTGTACTTGTTGTATATGAAAATATATTGTAAAAAAATACAAGTTTTTGTCTTTGAACTGAATTTCTAATAAAGCTGAGAATGTTTAATAAAACTTTCTTTTCTTGATTTATATTCACTGTCTCTTACTTGAAAATGATTTGTTGCTTTTAGGACCTTAAACAAAGTTCATGTCTCCAAAAATAGTTCTCTTAATTTGGCTCAACAGTTTTGAAATATTATAAAGAGTATATCAAAGTAGATTATATCTGATTAAAAAGAAAAACATCTGTAAGTTTTTATCTGAATGTGAAGAAGGTCATCTGGAACAATGGCTGTCATGTTTTGAAAAGAAGCAAAAGACAAAAAGATAATAGTTTATAAATGCATCTGTTAATTGACTTAAAAATTAAAGCCTATACAGTGTAAACATCAGATTGCTCCTTAATTGCATCATATTAGAAGGAGCACTATGAAATTATTGCCAAAAAAAAAAATGTTATTTCAAACGTTGCAACCACAAATGCATTATTTAAACCCAAGAGTTGACTAAGTCAACTATATCAATATGTGTTTCTGCATGTAATTTTATTTGTGATCCTATCTCTAATGGAGTGCTGAAAAGTTCTCGGCCAATTCCACATCGCAAAATCTGAAACAATGACCATATATCAATTTTTGGTTGGGCCAAGAACTTTTCAGTAACCCCTCATACATAGACAAATACATACAGCCATGCATATATAGTGACTTTGTTTATTTCTCTTGTCAATACTCTGAGTTACATGGAATTACATCAACTCTCCCAGATACTTGATTGCAAAATTGGATTTATTTTCAGAAATCATATTTTCCTTAAAAGAGTATTACATAATGTAAAGTTATTTGAATTTGTTCATTCTTAAAATATTTGTTCTTCCTCAAGAGACAACTGAACATTACATTTTATAATCTTTAATGATCTATCTTTTCATATCGAGCATTTTAATTACAAACACTACTTAAAAAATCTTCCAGAAATTCCGTCATTGACACTTATTTTGTAATCTTTCTTATTGTTTTTATATAGAAGATCATTGCAAAGGTTTGTGCCCAATTTGCATTGTTAATATAAAATAACTGCAACTTGATACTGGCACCAATTTCTGATATGTTCCAGACTGAAACCTTGCATTGTTCACTTGCAAGTCAAACTTTGTGGAATGTTGGCATTTTATTCCCAAATGAATACCTGAAAGATAAAGGATGAAAAGTTGCCTTTTCACTATAATAAGCTCTATGAATTTCAGACAGGATTAAGCAGTGGAACTGCAATGAAAAACATTCAAAATGTTTATTTGGATCATGTTCCAGATCTTCAGATGGTCAAAAAGTGATTTGGCAGATTTTATCAGGGTGATTTTAACCTAAACAATCAACTACACTCCAGGTGATCTTCTTACATTGACAAAAAAAAAAAAAAACCCGCTTGCCACCAATATAAACCAAACATTTCAACAGAAGTGATTGCTAAGAGTTTGAAAATTGATATCTCAACTGCCTTTCACCATTTGCAGGGACTTAGGTTCAAGAAAAACTGCTGATTTTAGAAAAACAAAAAGGTGTCATTTTCCACCAAAACATCATATAAAAACATGTAAAACAGACCTTGCAGAAGCTTAAAGAGTAGACATGGAAACCACTCACTGTATTCTCCTGACTTGGCTCTTTTGGATTTTCATTTGTTTCGGTCTCAACAGAACAATTTAAATGACAAAAAATTTGACACTGTAGAGTTATATTGAAAACTACTGTTCAACCTTCTTCCAACAAAAAGCACAAACTTTCTATGAAAATGGCATCAGCAAGCTCGTAGACTGATAGGAGGCATTTCTTAAAATCAATGGAGACAATGTACTTGACTAATAAATATTTTTGTGAATATGTAAAATTTTATTTTTAATTTTCTGATCAGGCACAAACTTCTGAAATGACCTATATATATATTTACACCCAAGTATATTTTCTCTCTTCTTGAATTGTTATTCTTTCCATAAAAATATATATGTAAACCTTTTTCATGTGTCAAAAATGTGTTTCTTTTGCAAATTTTGAAAAATTTCCACTTCAGTCATAACAAATAATGACTCCTTCCATTACAAGCTGGTGACCAATAACAACCATACTGGTTATAATTCTGTAGCTACAATTCACTACACAATAAAGATGAAGGAAAGTTTAGTAAAAAAAAAATTCATTATAATTACCAATAGTTATTCCAAGAAATCTGAAGAAATTTGTTCTTCATTTCAGAAAATCATGGAATCACTTTCACTTTCTACAAAGTTTAATTTTTAAATTGAGACCATTGCCAGAATTCAGATGTTTACCTGCAAACAAATGAAATAACCTTTCAACCAATGTTGCTTTTTAAAACACGCATAATATAAAAATCAAACAGGTATCATATCCTTTTATTTTTTCTTTTATATGAAATGTTCCTTCAGGGTGTAAGTGATCATGGCTCTCCACAAGTTCTTATCCTTTTCAGTTCTATTGAACTCCATACTTTAGTTATATCAGTTCAGATCTTTTACACCTAAGACATGCCATTCAACATCCACAATATTGAATCACCCTCATTTACTCTGTATTCCAATAATAAGAAAGAAGTTTCAATCAGACATTTTTTCCAAGCTAATTTGTAGAAGTGACTTAACATATTAGCATCTTCAAGTTGAAGGTCAGTTGTTATTCACCTTCTTTATCATCATAATCATCACTTCCTACTTTTACATTTATATCAGGCACTTCATTCCACAATCCAGCAACTTGAATGGCTCTCCAGGCTTGTATTAAGTGAAATTTTACTATAACAATCATTCATATCTAAGTAATTTCTGTCTTTTTAATATTATTCCCACTCCCTGTTCTGCCATCCATTTACACAAGCTCATTAAGCAGGTTACTTGTTTCTCTCTGCCTTTCCTATTTTCAATATGTCCTGTAAGTGTCAATTTCTTTATGAGATTTTTCCTTCATTATATGTTCCAGAAATTTCAATTATCACTTCCTGATTCTAAATGTCTTTTTTTCTTTCCATTTTCCTTAATATTTCCTAATTATTCACATGCTCTGTCCATATTATTCTCAACATCCTTCTCCATAACCAGATCTCTGTTATCCCAAATCTTTTCATCTGTGAAGTAATTATCCAGCATTCACTACCATATAGTAAAAGATTGTTATTACATAGCAGTTCAACACTATTTGTTTCCATTCGAACATTTTCCTTAAAACTTCCCCATTGTTTACATATATTGTTCATGGTATTTGCAACATCCTTCTGTAGAAACATCTCTATTGTTCCAGTTTTCATCTTTATCTCTGAGGAATTTGTCCAGCATTCACTGCTATATTCAAGAAAATAAAATCATAAAAAGAATGTTTGAATAAACTTATTATGAACACATGTGTACATTTCTTGAGAAACTGTTGAAGTTTAAACTCACTAGCTTACTCATCCTGCATGCTAACCACTGTCCTATCATCAGTTTGTCCACATTTGTTTGATTTGGTCAGCAATAGCTCAAGGCTGCATTTATTGAGCACTTAGTATTGACTGTGTTCTCTTTCACTGGTTCTGATACCAGCAAACTAACCAGAATACAACAATGAATAACCTCCTAAATAAAGCTAATCATTACCTGAAAAAGCTATTGAAAACCCAGACAATTCCAGGTAACCTTGCAAGTATTGTATAAATGTACAGTTAACTCCCTGGGGTTATGTGGACATAAACACTTAAATTACTTACCCAGTGCCCCAGAATACACTTCTATCAATCAGCAAATGTATTATTTGGTCTGTGAACTTTTATAGAACTCCACCCATTTTTTCAGTGTTTATTTGACTTTCACAAGACCAGCTAGAGTTACAAGAAAGATGCTAAAAAGAAGGAAATTGAGTTTGGAAGCCACCAGTAGATTGCTATTCAATATTATCTCTTAGTCTCTATTTCTTGTTTTTTTCTATAGCTCTCTCTTTTCTGACTTCTCTATTTCCTTTACCCTCTTTTATATTTTCCCTCTTTCTCCTTTCTTTGACTTTGTCTTCATTTCCCCCTTCACTTCATTCATTCTCCTTGCCTCAAATCTGGCCCTCTATTTCACTTTCATGGACACTCACTCTAATTCTATACCTTCACTCTTTCTTTTCCAAATGTTTTCTCTTTCTTCCTCTCTTCTAGTAATTCCACATTACTTTCACTGTTTTCTCTAAGTTTACTTCTTTCTTCCTCTTTTCACATACAGCCATTTTTATCATATTCATATAGCATTACTTTTCTTTCCTGCTTTTAGACTTCTCTTTTTCTCACTGTATATTGATTCTTACTCTATTTCTATCTTCTTCCATTACTTTAACTTTTATCTCTCTTTCCATTTATACTCTTTCTTTCCCAACCCAATTCTTTCTCTCCGTGTCTCTCAGTTTCTTTGTCTTTATTCTTTGTTGTTCACTTCTTCGTTTTTTCTCTCAAATTCTCTTTTCCACTTTTTTCTCATTCACTCTTTATGATCATCTCTCTCCTCATCTCACAAATTAAATTGAAACAATTCATTGTGAATGCTTGCAGCTTATTCACATAATTCCCTTGGGAGGCACAAGCTTGTACTTTTTCATGTCTCATTGACATCATAAATAAAAGAAAAAACTCACAAATCTTCACTCAGTTTATATTCTCTATATTTAGATAGTCACAATATATAGATACACATTTAGTCACATGGCTACTGAAGATTTTACTTACACTGATTTCAGGTCTAAACAGAAAATTATTCAAGAGAAATGTTCCCAAAAATTTGGGAAAATGAAAATACAAATATGGAACTGTATATATATACTTTTATGTTAATTAATATGTCTCTCAGTCTATCTAGTGAGCTAGTTCAGTCTGTTCATATGAGCATTAAGTGTGAATGCATTTAATTAAAGGAGAGAGACAAGGATTTTTTTTTTTACATATTTTGCTTAAATATTCCTTAATATACCTTATTATTCAGGCTTGTATATTCACTGTGTTTGTTAAATTGACAATATTTCATTTGTTATATCCTCCCCAGGTGTCTGTCATCATTATCTCAGAATTTTGAACTGAACCCTTTATTCAAATGATGGACATAGATTGTTCTCAATCCACTTTTCATGCTCATGAGAGATAAGTCACACCAGTTAATACTCACCTACCAGAACCTTATTCCTCTTTATGTCACTTGTCTGTTTCTGCCACCAAATCAGAGTCTCTGATTTTTTGGCACTACCAGACCCAGGTATTGAACTTAGAAATGCCAGGAAACCAAATATTTTTTTAATCAATGCTTTAATCCTGACTGATTAAAGTATTAAGTGCTTTCAGATATTCATTTATCCATTATGAAGATTCAAGATCTAAATAAATGGAGACAAAACTGTAATAATAGAAAGACTGTTTTGTAGTCACTGGAGAGGTCTTGAAAGGGAGTTTTGTAGCCATTGTAGTTTATTGCATTTATTGCTGTTGGTGAGGATGGCTGGAGCTGGAATTGCTGGAGATGATGATAGCATGCTAGTTGACTGGAACTGCTGCTGATGGCTGGAGCTGGCAGTTGGCTTCTGAAACAAATACTACACTTTTATCCTAATCATCTGGGATGCAGAATATTTATTTACCCCAGTCTTCCCACTGAGACAGGATGCGACACAAGGTTGAGTTTAATGTGGGAACCTGAGTGCATACTCTTGGTCCAGGTACAACAGTTGCCCAGCCCCCACAACTGTCAGTTTCACTGGCATTGGTATGACAATCCCCACTTTCTAGTGTGGGTGGTGCATCCTTGGGCAACTGCTCTCCAGGACTAGGCACCTCACAGATTTTATTTTCCCCAGCTGCATCTCTGTCCGTAGACAGAGCCACAACTGAGAGATGATAATCCTCCCTTGGCATGGAAGATGGTTTTTGTTGCTTTGAGGCCTTTTTACATCCTGCATCAGTTTTACAATGATCGTTGATTAAACATTTTTGCTGCAATTTTATATTTTTAATTTTGTTCATACACGTTGTTTGGTTTTGACTATGTTGACTGCACAGTAGTGTCAGTTAAGCACCATCTGTGAGAAAATGGTCACCATGACATAATTCCCTTTGCCAGAAATTGTGAAATGGCATGCTGTACTGCTTGTCATTCACACCAGAAGTTCCAATACAAACATTTCAGAGTGTTTAGATGTAAATCTGGGGACTTGTGTCCCCAAAAGATGTATCGAGAATGATGGAAACCAAATATCCATCATGATATTTGAAGTGATTACTAGTGATGGCAATGTTATGCCTCCATTCCTCTCCCCACAGGGTCTCAGACCTAACATGGAGGCCTACATCAAGTGTGTGCATATATATATATGCAATCTCATTTATCACCTCAAAAATGTAACCAAATTTTTTTCACAATTTGCGAGATGAGAAAAATGTTAACATTTATTAACAGATAGAGAGAATCACCGTACATTGTCATCATGATATAGAAATGTAATAAGATTTACAGATTAAATTAAAAAAATAACAGTTATAATCGATAAATTACAGTTTTGTCACCAAAAAATCTGGGAGGATAAAAACGTCTAAATAAATAGTCATTTAATCATAATTTTAGATTAACTATTCATGTTTACTTGTATTGAAACCAATAAGACTAACTAAAAAATTTAAAAAACAAACATTTATTTTCATGTTGACTTGAATATCGTCTAATTTTAATTATGTTTTAATAACTATGTCCTGAAGAAGGTCTACTATACTGAAACGTCTGATGTCGACATTGAAGCAACATTAAAACAACATACTTACATATTCGGATTTTGTTTTTCCATATTTTCTTCATATATATATATATATATATATATATATAATGTGTGTGTGTGTGTTAGCAAACTAGGTTAAAACTTTGTTTTAACAGTACATTCTCTTTGTATTCAGTTTCATAATGCTTTATTTATTCTTTAGATGCCATTACTATCTATAATATCAAAATAGACAATACTTTTGATCTCATCTTCTTTTGAATAATAGGAGAGCATTCCAAGATCTCCAACCCTTGAAAGAGGGATGTATAAATGTCTATGAGTAAAGACTTGATTCTGAAGATTTATACCTACCTTCTTAAACATTTGTCCTTGTGCATTGTTTATACTCATTACAAAATTCTATCACTTTCTCTAATCTTAGAAAGTCTATCTTCAGAAAGACTTTCTCTTTGTTGTTGATATGAAATCTTATTAATTTCTCTTATCACAGCAAGTCTCTTTTCAGAAAGATTTTCTCTTATGGTTCTTGATTCAGACTCTGAGGCTAATCTGATCTCTCGTCTTTCTCATCGAATCCTTTTATTTTCTTGATCACATCTTCTTTCAGCCTCCTGCTGTTCTGAAGCCATTCTTTATCATCTTCTTTGTCATCTTTCAGCAGGTGTGAGAGCAATTCTTCTTGATTTATTAGAATTTAGCATGTTTTGGTTCTGATTATATACAGGATTGATGATTCTTTATCAGAACTACTTTTTTCAGTCAAGGCTACCTTTTTATGCATTTTTCTTATTATTTTCCTTTCAAATTCCCTTTGAATTATTTTATTAAAATTTTCTTGAATTTTTTATCTGAAATCTTGAATTTTTTATTAAAAATTCTTACAATTTTTATTCAGAAATTTTTATCCTTCTTGAACTTCTTTTATGAGTTTTTTTTTTTTTATTTTTCTTTCATTATTTTCTTTCCTGAAAATTATTAGATGTTTTTTATTAAGATTTTTACTATTGGCATTAATAATTAAAAAGAAACACCTAGAATATGCTTTTAACTGTGTTGTCAACTGAAAATGATATAAACTTTACCTCAGAACAATGACTTTCTAAAACATAATTGAAGAATTTGCACAGAGTACATAATAAAAAGAAATAAAAAAGAAAGCTAATTTTCCACTTTAGCTACTTAAATGGCAGCACTTGTAGTCATCATTAAAGGGCTGCTAATCCATGTTTGACATATTGGTTAATGTGGTCTCCCTTTTTTCTTAATTTCTACTGATTTTCATCTCTCATTTTCTTGATTTAAAAAAAAAAAAATGGACATAACATTTTAGCTATTTTAAAAATCTTATTTTTATAGCTAATTTATTAACGGAGAGCTCAAATGTTGTTGCATTTTTTTTTTTTTATTTAAAAATATTTTTATTGTTGGTGCATTTAACCAAAAAACATAGCTCACTAGAGTGAAGTAGCTTGAAGGTGAAGGTCAATTTCCTTTCATTGTCAAATAAAATTAAAATGTTATTTCTTCTATAATATTCATCAAATTTTATAATAATTATTATTCCAGTCCAATTTTAATAAAATCGTTTATTGCACAAACTGCCAATCCGTTGTTTGTCTCTTCAGTCTTGTATATGGTTGTGGTAACATTAAGAAGAGATGGAATAAATTTACACAACCAACATTTGTGGGCAGACTGGAATCACCATGGTACTATATAGGCTAAGGAACCAGCATCAGATTATGATTAATGTGTGGGCTGGACTGGTAGATGACTGTCTGCTAGGTTCATATATTCTCCCAGCATGTCTTACAGGAGCTGCCTACAGTGGTTTTATTTTGAACAGACCTTCTAGAGGATGTTCCCTTGCTAATACAAAGATGCATGTGGTTCCTGCATGATGGGGCACCAGCACATTTTAGTCACATTGTTTGCAATGCACTGGCTGACATCGACCATGAAAGATAAATAAGTAGGGGAGAACTGATTACATGGCCTGCACATTTCCACCCCCCCCCGACCTCAGTCCTTTGGATTTTTATCTGTGGAGTAACTTAAAACAATTGCAGCAGACATTAATAATGTAGAGATTCTTTATCAGCTGCTCATGGGCGGGCAGCCTTAGTAGCTATTTAACACTGTGTGGGTGTATTTGAAAGAGTTCACCAGTGAATATTACAATGGGTGTATGCATGTGTAGAAGCAATCAGAGGACATTTTGAACATTTGTTATGAGTTGCTGTGTTGAGGTACAATGACAGCCTTTTGGTGATATGCTTATATAGACATTTTACTTTGTTTTGATGTTAGGAAGCCACCACTAAAGTGGGTAAAAGTATCTGGGATTGTACATTTAACAGCATTTACTATAAACTTTAAACTTAATAACTCAAAAACAAAGAATTTTCTGATATATGTTTATAAGGATTTTTGTCCTTGCTTTGGTCTGAGGAACCCATTCCCAAAGTTTGTAAAAATACTTTTGATACACCCTGTATATATATATATATATATATATATATATAAAATAAAGATTATTTTAAAAACTAAAAATATATGGATGAAGAATATGCCAAAGAAATTAATAAAGGAATTAAATAAAAATAAATAATATTAACCAAATAAACTGTTAAGAGCTGGTTTCATACATGCTTCACTGCTTTAATCCCCATGTAACATTATTTTTATATATATATATATATATATATATATATATATATATATATATATATTTAGTT